CGAAGAATGTAAATAATGCAAGTAATCACAATGCCTCATCTCAGAGATATAGTGGCCGAAACACTGTGAATATGGCAATGAAGATGAAGATACCAGCCCGAAGAATGTAAATAATGCAAGTAATCCCAATGCCTCATCTCAGAGATATAGTGGCCGAAACACTGTGAATATGGCATTGAAGATGAAGATACCAGTCCGAAGAATGTAAATAATGCAAGTAATCACAATGCTTCATCTCAGAGATATAGTGGCCGAAACACTGTGAATATGGCATTGAAGATGAAGATACCAGTCCGAAGAATGTAAATAATGCAAGTAATCGCAATGCCTCATCTCAGAGATATAGTCTGATACTATTAATATTTTGGATGGTAAGCATAAGTCTTCTTTATTTTTCGAGTGAATATTGCATTAACAATTTTTCCAGAAAAACCATGATTTTTTCATTTACAGGTTCTACTATTCAACCCATACCTTGGTGTTAGGAGAAGGATTTATATATTCACCAACGTTATTTATCGTAAGCAAATATAATGTAACCAGCTAGAGTCCATATTTTTTTCTGCATTTTTTCATTCCGAACTAATATACATTACTCCTTCCGCACATCTACGTATGTATAAAAAAAACTCCAGAGAACTATAGAAATTATTTTTTCAGTCTTGTTTTATACATGTCTTAAAGAGCGGATACTGCAAAAAGACACACCTGTATCGAAGATGTACATCTACTGCCTAATTACGGAAAAATACATTCATTTTTTAACCATATCACCCCAAGAAAGGCGGGGGTGCTACTAGTACGCAAGGCGTTACAGAAAGTGATAGCAAGACAGGTGTCTGAGGAAATGATAGAGAAAAATGAGGCTCAAGATCAAGGCTTCAGAAGATGTCGAATGACATTACATTTGAATATTTAGAGATTATAGCTATCAAAGAAGCAAGTAAGAGGAAGGGAGTTCCACTGTCGGGAAGTTTGTTTTTTCTTGTTTTTTTTTTTAAGCATTACGCCCCGAGCAAGGCGTGAAGCCACTAGGATGCAGGGGGTTGCAGAAGATTTGGAGCGAGAGCAGATAGGAGTGATAGAGGAAAGGATGAGGAGAAGTATAGTGGATAGATCAAGGTAGCTGGAGATGTCGATTGACATTACATTTGAATAGTTGGAGACTATAGCTCTCAGGGAAACAGTAATTGGGAAGGGTGTTCCACAGGCGAGAGGTGCGAGGTATGAAGCTATTGGAGTAGAAGTGTCCGATAAGAAGCTTTTGGAATAGAAGAGACGGCTACATTTAACTGTTTTGAAAGTGAAATGGTGGGATCGATTTACCAACCTAGTAGCACGCTTAAATTCATGCAATTTTATTACCAGTGAAAATAGCTCGTGAGAGCAGTTGCCATGAAAATATCTGGAGAAAAGTCAGAGGGGAGCCACATCATGTCTGTGATAAAGTGACTGTAGACGAGATGCCAGATCAGGACATATCACATTGCACTACATATCCGTCTCTGGATTTTAAGCATATTTTTCTCAATTGTCACTGAACCTGTTGAATAGTAATGACGTAGATCAAACTATATCCACTGGAAAAAAAAAAGATTCACAGGTTGGGAATCCCATGCTCAGAATTTGAAAGCCAGTTATGAAACTGCGTGAAAAAAAAATCATTTACTTGTTATTTTTCGTGTGCCTTAAAAAGTTTCTGACTTTATACGTTAAATGCTTTATCTACCCCTTATCAATATCCTTGTGCGTGTTACTTTCTGACACTATAAATACACGTTAATCGCCACCTTCATATGCACGTCAAATCTACGCCCATATAGCTGCCAAGTTTTACACACAAAAGCATATTTGCAGTGTTTAAATTTTGACATTTTTGTATGGATGGCTGTACATGGCACAACATTATATATACCCAGGCCTCTCTCACAGCTACTCACCCAGTTCTTATCAATTCGTAACCGTTTTCAGGAATTGCATAGAAATGAGAAATTTCCGAATTTTAATTCTGTTGGGGATCGCAATTTTAAAACAGGAAAACCTATTTTGCCATCAATTTTTCTTCTGAAAAATGTTGTCTTGCTGTCTTTGTTTTTATTTCAATTTCCTCCCCCATTGTACATCGATTTTCTTTCAGGTTTTTGCCAGTTTTCATCTGATTTGCGTATGTGTCCTCGAATACTGAGATTAAAAAGAATCTAAGAAAACGTTTTAACTATCATAGTTGCAAAAACATGGCGTATACTTTGGTTACAAAATTTTTCTTACAAAAGTTTTAACAGAATAAAGCAACAATTACGGAACCCCAAATACAAGTTAATTTCTCTTTATCGTTGCAAGAGTCAGAAAGCAATTCCAGCCATGTCTAGTCTGGAGCTATACAATTTCCATTTTCAGGCTCGATAGATTTCAAAAACCTTATGCGCCCTTCGTGGGGATGACTTATCCCCCCCTACAGCCACTTCCCCCTTAGACGAACAGTAACAAGCCTATCACTGTTCTATGGTCGTTTCCCTGGCAAATGTTCAGACGTGTTCATTGATTTGTGTCACTAATTCAAACAAATCATCTACACCGTCGAATCAGAATTATTCTCTTCCTATTCCATCTGTAAGGAAGAAGTGTAACTTCTTCCCAAGAAATGCTATTTTGTGGCACAGACCCCCTGTGGGCATGCTTCCGTGAACACGTCTCTTAACATTTTTTTTTAGCGTCAATCATTATCTATCTTCCGTATATCTCATAATCTGGGTTTCTTATTTCCTTTCTTACGTACATACCACACTACATTAAATAACCCTCTACCTTGAGTGGAACTTGTGCCTTGTATTGGTTACGTTTCAGTACAAGAAAAAAAAAATAATAATAATTTCGAACTCATTAGATTCGTACACTATTTACATTGCTCGGACTTTCAATCTCATCTTTGTTGCCATATTTATCACAACGTTTATCCACTATACCATGTGTCCTCAAGGACACGTGGCACAGTGGATAAAGGCGTTAATTAGATCCAGTGACAGGACCCAGAGAGTGTGAGTTCAATACCTGGTTAAGGCGGTAGAGAAATTGGAAAGGGGAATTAACAGGAGGTAACTGACAACTGACATACATTATTGATGGCAAGGGTTCAGTTGGACATTCCAACCACCGGAAGAAGCACGAAACGTTGTGATAAATATGGCAACAAAGATCAGGATGATAGTTCGAGCAATGTAAAGTGTACATAATACCTCATCTCAGAAATATAGACATATACTCATTAGATTCGTATTTTTTTTAAAATATCATACCGCTTCCGGAAGGCGGCGATCATTGTTCACCAGTGATCACCTTCATTATCTTTTACGTATCAGCGAGATATCTGGTCATCAGTAAAAAGAATGAGGCCGGAATGCGATTTGCAAGTCGTGAACACAAGAATCAAACAGACTTGGAAGTTTAAATATCTGGAAATCGTTCTGACAGTAGACGGTAAATGTTAAATACTGTTACGTGATATCTGTTCTTATTTACGGTAGTGAATATTGGACGATTTCCTCAAAAATGAAGAAGAGACTAGAGACGACGGAGATGTAGTTCTACAGAAGGATGCTAAGGATATCATGGAACGAGCGTGTAAGCAACGATGAAGTCTTAGAGAGGATGCAAACAAGGAGGAGGCTTGTACTTAGTATCAGGAAGAGGCAGCTGACGTTCATGAGACACATAATGAAGAAGGAGGGCCTAAAAAACTGATACTCATTCGTCTAATAGAGGGAAAGCGAGACAAGGGAAAACAGGTCGTGAACACTAGAATGAAGCAGACTCGGAAGTTTAAATATCTGGGAATCGTTCTGACAGATGACGGTAAATGCGACACTGAGATCCAAGGACGAATTCAAAAAGCTGGGCAGAGTACTGCGAGTACAGGAGAATATTTTTGGCAACAAAGAAAATAATACTGAGCTGTTACGTGACCTCTGAACTTCTTTGCGGTAGCGAACGTTGGACGATTTCCGCAAAGATGAAGAAGAGACTCGAGGCGACGGAGATGTGGTCCTATGCTAAGGATTATCATGGACCGAACATGTGAACAACGATGAGGTTTTAGAGGGGATGCAAAAAGGAGAAATCCTATACTTAATATCAGGAAGAGGCAGCTGAAGTTCCTGGGACACATAATGAGGAAGGATGGCCTAGAAAATCTGATACTCATTGGTCTAAAAGGAGGAAATTGAGACATGGGAAAACAACGCATGACATAGCTAGCGGCCTTAAGCAAGTGGATGAAAGAACGTGATCTGTGGGAGGAAGGAGAGGGAAGGAAATTGTTGAGTTGCTGCAAGTGATAGAGGGAGATGGAGAGTCATGATGTTGCTATAAACTATTAGTATGTGAGATTTAAAAGAACAAATATTTATTATTAATTTTTGTTTTATTTTCTATTCGTAATACGTATTGGGATGGCCAAGGACGCATTCCAAAAGCTGGGCAGAGTATTGCGAGACAGGAGGATTTCTTTGGTAACGAAGAAAAGAATACTGAGCTGTTACGTGACATCTGTTCTTCTTTACGGCAGACGATTTCCTGAAAGATGAAGAAGAGACTGAAGGCGACGTAGATCTGATTCTACAGAAGGATGCTAAGGATATCATGGACCGAGAATGTGAGCAACGGTGAAGTTTTAGAGAGGATAAAAACAAAGAAGAGGCTTGTACTTAATATCACGAAGAGGCAGCTGAAGTTCCTGGGACACACAGCAAGGAAGAAGGGCCTGGAGAATCTGATACCGACGGGTCGAAAACAATGTATGATCCACCGAGCGGTCTTAAACAAGTGGATGGCAGAATGTAGTCTGGTGGAGGTGGCAGAGGGATAGAGGCAGGTGGAGAGCCATAATCGCCTACGTTCTGAAAGGAGAGGGTACATAGGAAAAAAGAAAGATACGTGTGTCGAAAGAAATACACAATCTATTTACAAGGCGTGGAGAGATCCGGGTAGACCTGTTGTCATCTTACCAAGAGTTGAAGAAGGATACAAATACTTCATTTCACCACGACCGACTATATTTTCGGACATCTAGAACGATTACTATGCTCAAGCCTAGGCGTGTGGAGGTTCAAGTACAATTTGCCAAATACCATCTTGTGCAGCACATTTCGTTTTGGAATACAGGGTGAGACAAAATTATGTTAAAACTTGTATAAGAGGGTGAATCAAAATTATGTTAACACTACTAGGAGAGGAATTATTTATTCAGTGTTTACTGAACAGTCTCCACCTGTCCACCAGCACAATTGATGCACAAAACCCAGCGATCAACTGTCAACTTAGTGGCTTGACACACATTCCACGGGGAATGTTTGATATTACACCTTTTATTCTGTCCTTTAGGTCTTCTTTGTTTCTAACTTTTTGCTATACACGCGATCATTTTAATATTCTATAACCAGAAGTCATAAAACCTGAGAAAAAATTCACCAACCTATGCATCAAGAGCAAGTGGAATCTAGCTTGATCAACCAGTCTAGCACTCTCAATCCCTCAGTCACGTTGACTTGTGGTCCTGTGCTAGCACAGCTATAGACGGCCTAGAAATGCTCGGTTTACCCAATTTCACTCACAACGCTTTGGTTAACTAGTTGTAGGGTTTTTAGGCACTTTCCTGACAAATCGACCATGGTGAGATTCGAACCGGGGTCTCAGGTCAAAACGTTCTAACACTCGGCCATATATATATATATATATATATATATATATATATATATATATACCCAAGTATATAATTGGTATATACGGAATGAATTCCAATAACCAACAATTGCTATTCTTAAAAGAGTGCTCAATACAAAGTAGAGCAGATATAATTATTATTTATAAAAAATTTATACCATAAGTATGCTATAAAATCACTGCAAAAATAGCAATTTTGTTTCAACACCCTCGGTGTTTTGTCAAGTGATGATGTTGAAGATAAAATAAAAAAGTTTTTATTTAAAAACTTTTTTATTTTATCTTCAACATCATCACTTGAAAAAACACCGAGTTATTCTGTTTTGTTAGGGGCTTCACTATTTGCCCTTAGCATGGACCCTAAAATGTGCTACTACAACTGAACAATAACAATTAAATATGGTCTCATGCTGTTCAAAAAACATAAATCTTCCAATAAGAGGACTTGCTGCCGGATGTCATTTATCGTCATACCCAGAACTAGATGTTGGATATATCATAGGAAAAACTAATAATAAAATATTAGTTAGTTCTGCATTAATAGAAAATAAAATAAAATAAAAATCAATGTATCTTTGATATTGTATAACCTTATAATGTTTGAAATGTCAATCTGAAAAAACTTAGTCAAGTAATCATTATCAGAGTTGTTTGGACAATCAATGTCCTTTCGCATCTTCAAAATGGCTACTCGTTTCCGAGTATACCCATTGGCTCGTTTCTGTTTCCTCAATGCCCACAAAGCCAACATTCATTTTGTTTTTTTTAATCATTTCACTCCCTAAGCAAAGCAATAATGGCAGTAAGATGAAAGAGGCTACTAGAAATGAAAGATAAAGAGAAGAATTTAAGAACCGGAAAGGCAATCCTAAACAGGAAACAGGAGATACACCTATTCAAAAAAAAAAGTCAAGGAGTGGGAACCATGCAACAGGTGAACCTATCTACTCCTATATGCGATTAATACTGCAACTATGATGAACAGACCTTAGATTCAAGATCGTGCCCAACCAGAGATTAATAAGGCATTGAAATATGAGTTGTTTTTCACATATACTACTTGCTAACCAAGTATAGAGAGTCGGGTCTGCCTTTTTATTTAACGCATGGCTGGAAGGAGAAGAGAAAGATCGATCCCTTTCCCAATGGTATTTGTGCAAAAGTATATGCAACTATCTTGAAACGGAATTCTAACGTTCACGAAAGACCCAGGAGCCACTGAAGATAGCTATGTAGTGTTTGAGCGCAAGAAAAGGCAAGAAGTTCACGGGGTTTGACAGGAAAGATAATGGTTATCCCTAGACATGAAGAGGTCAAATTAACAGTGATTAGGAAAACATCCTGCTTGGAATCTACTCTAGAATGCAGAAATTCTTAAGAAATAATTGTCCCAATTGAACTGGCTGATAATATAATAGGAAGGCATTGAGGACGATTCACATTTGTATATGTGGCATGGTGGATCCCAGTTGTAAAGGTCATGGTCGCTGGTACTAAAGTACTCGTCAGAACACATTACATGAAAATAACGGTAGAGCCACGAGAGGCACACGAAATTTCATTGGTTGATTGAATTTGTTTATCTGTATATCATCCTCTATGGCTTATTTAATGCCGAAATTTCAATTTCTCGCACGCAATTTTATGCTTTCGTCTACAGATACTTTACATCATTTTAGACTCTCAGGGTAAAAGTATGTTTTTCAGATGCATAATTTGTATATCATTAAATATATATTGTTAGTAATTTTACTATAAAAATGTATTTTTTAGTGTTGCATTGATTGCCATTTGCTATAAAAATGTATTTTGGTCATTTTATTATAAAAATGATCTGTTGATTTTTTTGATAGGTAATGGGTTAAGTAATTTCCCAAAGCTGGGACCCTAAGTTTCGTCTGTGGGAAAAGTGTTGCAGGAAGGAAAATAATTCATCACCCACAGGGACGCGAAGATGCGTTTGAACTCTGTTAAGGGAAGCAACAGAGGTCTGGATAGCATCAGCACACATATAGGAATACTCCATTATTGGTCTTATCTTTCTTTTATAAAGTTTGAATTTCATTCCCTGTCTCTAGCCATTAAACCACCTGAACATCCTAAAAATTGATGATTCTTATAATGGAAGTTTATAAAAGAAAAAAAAAGAAGAGATATTGACTTATATTTTATATTTCGAGTGGAAAAACTGAATAAATATTTTGATTGATATTTTATGTCTGGGGTACAAAGATTATTTAAAAGTTGGGCTTCCATAGAAGAGTTTCTTTATTTCGTTTCACCAATTTTCTGCTGCTTTTAGTCGGTCAGCACTAGAGTTACACCCTGCAGTGCCTATCTCCCTGGTTCCGAGTCCGCTTTGAAAAAAAGCTTTTAGAACAGCATGAGAGTCGTAGCTGAAAATAATGGCAGAAAATTACATTCGTCGTTAGCATTAAAGCCACGGACCTCACATCGCCTCCATATATTTATTTCTTCATAGCTGCCGCATTTCGTCGGATGATAGCTATCATGACACCATTTTTCGTAAGAATCATAGAAAAATTCTTTGAGCTATTCAGCTAGAAAGAGAACAGGTTAAAATCATTTTGTGTCAGCCCCACTATGTCTTCCCAAATGAGCAATGGTGAGAGGAAAAAGTTCATTAAGGCCTACAGTAATGGTACCAATATTCATACTGTGGCTTCCTTCTTCAAAGTCCATTAAAAAACCACCAAGAGAATGGTGAATAAGTTTAAAAAGAGGGAAAAGTATAAACGAAAACTGGAGGTGACAACAGGAAGAGTGATTATCATTTCAACAGAGAGATATATCAATACTTATTGTTCACAGTGGAATTCAATAGTTTTATAAAAACTCGGAGAATTCAAGTAACATATCTTTAATCATTTCTAAGATAAAACGGTCCGAAGTTTAATATAAAAATTGGACAATTTTAATGTTACACGATTTGGAGAATTTTTTTTGTTACAGCCGATATATATATATATATATATATATATATATATATATATATATATATATATATATATATATATATATATATATATATATATATATATATATATATATATATATCACGTCATTTGTTTACATTTGATACGCAATGAGCAGTTATGAATGTACGAGATTCATGGAAGATTGAAGTTTATAAGCAGTAAATTCAACCTTGCCAACCAAGCGATCCTTTCTGGCCGAGCGGTCAAGGCACGTCAGCAAAAATGACGGTTCCGTATAGGATGCAGGTTCGAATCCTGTCAAAGGACGAATATTTTTTTATGAAAATTTCTCGGACATTCAGGCCGGTAAATGTCATTTAATACTGTTTATTTTAATCAGAGCACTTACTTAAATACTTGTATCTATAAGAAGAACGTTAAACATAAAAATGTCTTTAATAAATAAATTGTCGGACTTTGTCCATTTCTTAATATATATATATATATATATATATATATATATACAAAAATGACTATATTAATATTTTGCTTTTGAGCCATTCTGAAAAAAAGATGATGATTTACATTAAAGTCAATCCAGAAAAGCTGGGAAGAATATATAAAGTCAATCCAGAAAAGCTGGAAGAATATATAAATAACTTTCGATATGAACTAAGAATTTTAAAGACAAGATACAGAATTAATATTAAAAGTCTTCCTCTCTCTCTTTCTCTCTCTTTCTCTCTCTCTCTCTCTCTCTATATATATATATATATATATATATAAGGGCATATAATACTTTTGGCACTAGAGAGATGAATTTCACCTATGACAGTCCAAATATCAGTGAAAAAAATTCTAGTAAATGAAATTGTACATGAAATACTTTTTACTCCAGGACGGAAAGTTAAAAGGATTGAGAAAGCGGAGATCATCCTGAATAAGTTGGAAAATTATCATGTAATATATATATATATATATATATATATATATATATATATATATATATATATATATATATATATATATATATATATATATATATATATATATATGTGGGCGTAGCCGCAAGAATGTCCAAATTGTGTAACACCAAATTGTTCAGTTGTTAGATTGAGTTTGAACCGATGTATCTTCGAAATGATTAATGATATCTTACTTGAATTCTCCGAGTTTTTTACATTGAGCAATAATAATGTTTAATTATATTCCGAGCTTAACAGAAGAATCGCGCTGAATTCGATCATAAACGAAAATGATATGCTCATTGATTAAATGTAACTAACGATCGGAAGCTTATGAAGGACTGAAATTAAGTTCAAATATATATATATATATATATATATATATATATATATATATATATATATATATATATATATATATATATATATATATATATATATA